TTCCTTCAAACACAAAATATGTAGGCCCAATTATATTAATTTCTCCAAGCCTTCTAATCGTGAATTGTTTGGGCCTGCTACAGGAGTACGGGGCCTACTGGTTCAGTACGGGACACCCCCATACTCGCTGGTTGGAACTTCCGTTTAATATCTCGCCGTCCATAAAAGTAGCCCAATAGTCTGAAAATAATGCACAAAAATATCATAGCACTCAAATCCATCTAATAAATAAATAAGCCGAAAAACATATAAGTGTGATAAAAATTAAGCATATAAAAATACGCTAATAAATATATATAATACACACTTTTTTCGAACAATCAAATCTCCCCAAACTTAAACCGTTGCTTGTCCCAAGCAACTTAGAACTAATAAGCACATAGATGGACAAGAAAACAAGTACGTGGAACTTTACTCAGGGCCTCACAATTCTCACATAAGTGCATAGTTCAAACAACTCAAATCAATATATTCGGACTCAAGATGAAATCATTTTAAGAACTCAAACAATCAAGTATCAATTCAAGTGACCACCATAGTTTGTCAATCTCTATAACGAATGCACCGATCAATGCAACTCATGACACCCCTCTCTTTGCTAACAAGTCAAGTTCCCTTCCGTTTCTAGCCGAAGTCTAAACGTCTCATTCTCCATTTCTTTTTTTTTCTTTCCTCTTTTTTTTTTCTTTGACAAGTAGGGAACGGCAGCTCCGTCACAACCCATGGGTTTTAGCCTTTCGTGTTCGTCTAGATACAGAAATTATTGGAATTATACACTAGAGCCCCCATAGATTGGCAGCTGTTGCAGCCCATGCTCTTTTTTTTTATTTATTTATTTTTTTTTTTGGTGCCAAACGGCTTTTCAACTCCAACAATTATTCCTCCATCCTCATTATTCTTTTTTTTCGACTATGAGACACAGAAACCCCAACTTTCAACTTCAAGTCCCTAAACTTAATCAACATTGATTAAAGCAATCAAAAGCACATATCAACAATACAAGTCGCCTCAAAACCAACTCACCACAAATGAATCACAAAAATATCAACCATCATGCCTTTGTCCCCAAAATAAAAACACCTTAAGAATTTAACCAAATAAAATTAACTCAAGCCATTTAAACTAGCACAATAAATCCAATCCGACTCTCATGTCATCATCGCAAAATTCCACGTACATGCAATCTCTCGCTCACACACGACAAACAAATATCATGCAACTAATCTAAGACTCAAACTCTAAGGGGCATAAATATAATCACATAATAAACATGAATGCCCACTAAGAAATATCTCCCCAAACTTAGAGTTTGCATATATCATTGACACTCAAATAAATACAAGAGAACAAAAGCGGAGATAAAAGAAACGAGTTCACCTTAGTCAATGCGAAGAAGGTCGCCGAACCATGCACACCATTGGGTTGCCTCCCAACAAGCGCCTCTTTTTATTGTCGTTGGCCCGACTTATTGCTTCCTTTTCATCAAAGGATCCATGGCGGCTTCGGAGGTGGCTTCAAGGGAGGCATCAATCTCACCACGCCATGCTTGGTGGCATCTCCTCTCCTCGGTGTTGGGTGCTTCACCGGATCTTTCCTCCATGACGCTAATTCCTCAAGAATGTGTAGCAACCCACGCTCAATCACGGTCACCATCTCATGAAACTCCCACTTACACCTTTCATTTTGCTCAATCGTCTCAAGAGGAGGTATGTGAAGGCCCAAGACATGCTTCAGTGCATCCTTGGTCAACACCCACTTCATATTGGAATACATAGGACACGGTTCAGCTTCTATCGGCACAAGAGCGGGAAGAACGGTACGCTTTTTGGCTACAGCAGGTCGAGTATGGGGTACCCCCGTATTCTGCTGCTCAGCTCCATATTCTGCAGCTTGGTTCTCTTTTTCGCTCTCATTCTTCTCGATATTCGTGATTTTCTTGTTCTCCGGCTCGTGTGTGCACTCTTCAAGTTCCTCGAGGTCCTCGCTGTACGAATGGGTAATGCTCAAACTCGTTGGACTCGTTTCGATCCGATACACTAGTCGGTCCATTTGTTCCGCCAATTGGCTCATTTGGCCTTCTAAATTCTTTATGCTTAGTTCTTGGATCTTGAGGCTCGTCTCAACACTTTGCTGAAAGTTAAGGGTGTTAGCCGTCAACTCCTTCATCATCTCCTCGAGCGACGGACCAGGATCTCTCTCAACGAATGGCTCACAATACTCTTGCCGAAATCTCAACGTGTGAGCCTCTAGTGCCTTCACCATATCCTCTAGAGATGGGCCGAGATCTCGCGCAATTGGTGGCTCGGAGTACCCATGGAAAGAGTTCGAGTGCTCTCTCAAGACATACTCGTTCTCTTCGGGATACATGTAGTCTTGCTCGTATCTTCGCCAACCATTAGGTCCTCTTACGCCTCGATCTCCAATCCACGGACCTCGTATCTCCCTCTCATACTGGTAAGGTGCCTGGTGGGTAATAAAGTCGTGATAATAGGCTGCCATCTCGGAAAGTTGCTCAAAAGCTCGCAAAAATCGCCCAAAAATTAGTGAATCCCGCGAGTATGGGGTTCAACTATTCTGTCCAGCAGAGTACGGGGTCTCCCAGTATTCTGCCAACAAATAAAAATAATAATAATAAAGAAGGAAAAAAGGAGTAAAAGATGATAAAATAAAATCCTAAAAAAAAATAAATAAAATAATTCAATTAGTACTCAAAAATCACAATTCAATAACGCCACTCCCCGGCAACGGCGCCAAAGTTTGACCGCGCGTCGCAACGCGGCAAAATTATAATTTATATTTTTCCTCAACTAACCCCTACTAACTAGTAGTAGTGGCGAGCAAGGGTCGATCCCACGAGGAGTGTGAATCAAATCGTGAATTTTCTCGTATTAATTGAAATTATAGAAAGCGATAAATGCGGGGGGTTTTGATTTAATAACTAAACTACCTAAAAATCTAATGAAATAAATAAAATCTAAACAAGAAAATAAAAATAAAAATAAATAAATAAAGAGAACTTTCTAGTTCACGGTTCCGTCTACACCCTCGACTGACTCGTTTAATCAATTTTAGTATCAAATCTCGCTATCTCATGAAATTACTAGCCCTAGGCAACGACACGGTCTGTTACCCGAATTTTTCCTTATTTTTAATTTAACCGCGAGACGCTCTACGATTAAACCTGACTTCTTGTACAGTCCAGAAAAACGTTTTCAAGATTTAATACAATTAGCCGCTTTACGAATTAGAAAAATAGGCTAGACTAAGTAGTGAACTCAACCGCGTTTGTTCACTTAATTAGGCTGTGTTATCCCCGGTAGTTACCATCTTCCGGTTACCTCTTATGAATTAAACACAACAACAATTACGGATTGCAGGCCTAATTCAGATGTAGATATGAAAAGCCTAATCTAGGTGATCAATCTAAACAAGACTAACACATCATGGTGAATTATTCAAAATAACACAAACAATTCCAAAAAGATAACTCAATAATCAACCAAGAAAATCAATCAAACATCGTCAAGTCGTAAGGTTCAACATCACCGGAACTAGAAATAACTAGCCTAACATAATAATAAAAATAAATAATAAAAGAGAAAAGAGAGAGAATAAAATTCTCCCTCGTGTGCGGGTGCGGCCTCCCTCCGCAATTTGTCGGGCTCCTCGTATATGTGCTCTTCTCGTGCGGCTCTGTTTCTTTTTTTCTTTTGGCGTGAATCGTGGTGGCTGTGTCTGTGCGTCCATAATCTGATGGTTGGGGCGTGAATATATATAAATTGGTTGCTGCCCTTTATTTTCCTCCTCTCATGCCAATTGCGTGAAATTAATTCCCATGAATTGGGCTCTCAGGCCCACAAAAACTCACATATCCTCCAAACTTATGTATGTATGTATCAAAGTATTAAGCTCCTCTCCAATTAAGCTCATGAGTGGGCCCTTTCCTATTCCTGTCAGCATTCCCACGCAGCCCACTTCCTTCAAACACAAAATATGTAGGCCCAATTATATTAATTTCTCCAAGCCTTCTAATCGTGAATTGTTTGGGCCTGCTATAGGAGTACGGGGCCTACTGGTTCAGTACGGGACACCCCCATACTCGCTGGTTGGAACTTCCGTTTAATATCTCGCCGTCCATAAAAGTAGCCCAATAGTCTAAAAATAATGCACAAAAATATCATAGCACTCAAATCCATCTAATAAATAAATAAGCCGAAAAACATATAAGTGTGATAAAAATTAAGCATATAAAAATACGCTAATAAATATATAAAATACACACTTTTTCCGACCAATCAATAGTTGGCTGATATTTTGTGATCCGATTATGCAGCTAAGAAAGATTCACTATAATTTTTTTTTAATTTATTTTTTGTAATTATCTCTTCCAAAAAAAACTCTCTCTCTCTCTCTCTCTCTAACTTCCTCGCACCATTTAACTTCTTTCCTTCCTCCCCTTTTTCCCTTAAACCACAATTTTCTACATCCTCATTCTCTCTCCTTGCCTTCTTCTCTATCACCTTTGTTGGATTCTCATCTCCGCCATGAAACTCGCCAAAATCATACCCGGCAAGCTGTTCAGACCCCAAAAAATCTCGATCCGTTTCCAGATCCGAAGATGATCTGCCGTCTTTCAGCTCCCAGTCGACGTCCTCCTCGGCTTCTTTCGAGGACATATACAAAAAGAAGGGCGACGGCGGCCTGGCCACGCCGACCACCGTCCTCCCCTCCGGCTCTGCCAACGAGTGGTCCGAGATCTCCGCCGACGTGTACCTCGAGCTCAAGCAGGCCTTCAAGATGATCGACACGGACGATCCAGAAGGAGGAGCTGCTGTGCGGGTTGGGTGCAGAGCCGCCGGGCAGGGAGGAGCTCCGACTGACAAAAAAATAATGATAGAGATTGATTTCGATCATTTTGCCTGTCGAGGTAGCAAAATTTGGTGATAGTAGACTAACATTTCTATTTTTGGTGATTTTTTCGTAAAAATGGACCCAAAATCATGAGGAAGAAGGTGTTGCAGCAATAATGTTGAGGAATAATCTGAAAATGATTTAGGGTTCACTTTTCCAGCTTTTATATGTAAAAGCTTCCGTTTTCAGCCATCGGATTTTGTGGGTTACTCCAAGCCGTCGATATGTTTACTTTGGAATAAAGGGCCTGTCATTTCTTAACAAAACCGGGCTTCATCAATGGCCACACTTTGGGCTATTTATTTAATTGTTAATAGAATTGATGGTTCAAAAAATAGGCCCAGTTATTTTACTCAATTTTTTGGGGGGAATTTACATACATACATATCCGATTGTTAAATAATTATAAATCTACTACATTCAAATTTAATTTGCACATCAACGAACATCACGTTTTTTCTCTTTTCACTATCTTTAAATATGACACGTTTTTTCTCTTTTCTCTCTCTTTAAACAACGCCACATTATTTTTCTCTTTCCTCTCACTTTAATATTTTTTTTCTTCTTCCCCTATTTCTTCCCCTGTTTCTTTTTATCTTTCCACAATCTTTAATTTTTTTCTTCCTCCCCGATTTTTTCCCTGTTTCTTTTTAGGTGGTTCGCCTCTCGATTGGAAAACTCGAACCCTAATCCCACTGGATAAAGAAGAACCAAAATGCATCATATACAGAATATATACTGAATATATAGTTATGATATACAAAAGACATACAAAAGATAAAAGAAAACTAAAAACGCATTATATACTAAAAATATACTGAATATATAGTCATTATATACAGAAGACAAACATAAGATATACAGAAAAAAAATATAGTCATTATATACATAATATATACCGAACATATACTGACAATATATTATATACATCAAAGAGGTGTCCGGTTTTGTCACAACACCAGATCCAGGCGTCGGGTTGTCAGACGTGGCTTGGCCGCCCTCGACCGAAATCCTCCAGCCCGCTTGTCTTCCACTCTGCCCATGGTCGTCTCTCGTTAGCGACCAGATCTGAGGTTCGATTGTCACGTGTTCGATCTGAGCATTTGTTACTACTTCAAACCTAAATGAGGGCTTTCATAATTTCATTATCAGGCTTACCCCCCACTGATCGCGCCGCACCACAGCCAGTGTTCTGATTCTCCGCCTTTTGAGTCTCTACACAAGACGACCTCCGACCACCCATTGGTCACTGTGCGACCTCAGTTCGGGAGATTGAAGTCAGTCCGCGCTGCTTTCACCCACTGGTCATCGCTCCTCTGACCGCCACCAAGGCATCGTCCACCGTCAAGATCTTCAAAATTGGGATGGGAATACAAGAAAATGGTGACAAATTTTATTGTTTTTGACAAGAATTTTGAGTGGGGCTATTTGATTTTGGATTTGGGAAGTTATAGGTATCTGCAAATTGATGAAAAGAAGAAGAAGAAGAAGAAGAAGAAGAAGAAGAAGAAGAAGAAGAAGAAGAAGATATAAGAAAGAGATAAAAAATTGACGGAAAGAAAAAAGGGGAAGATAGGGTGTTGGATAAAGAACGTGGTATAATTCCAAATAAAAAGTAGGATGTTAGCATAATTGCAAATAAAAAAATACAGTTCGTATATGCAATTAAAATTGCTCGTGGTGGTGTGCGGGATAAATTTCTCATTTTTTTGCCTCATCGAATATATGTCTTATTAATGATAAATGTGATGTGATTTATTTAGAAGTGTCCACTTAAATTTTTTAGTTAATTATAATATTTTGCATATAATTATTATTCAAATACATATCATGTGACAATAAATCTTAAAATAAAATAATAGTTAAGTATTATGATGAAGGGAAATGCTCACATGCCCACGGTGGACACATGTTAATATATCCACCGCTGATGTGGCATGCACACATTGGTGATGTTAATATGTTAAAAAAAAATACATCACCACCCATGTGTGCATGCCACATAAGTCGGTGGGCATATTAACATGTGCCCACCGTGGGCATGTGAGCATTTCCCTTATGATGAGTGAAAAGAGGTCGATTTTTTTTTTTTGGAACATTCCATTTTATCTTAACTAGTACGGTACCCGTGCGATGCACGGGAGCATTTATTACCTATTTATTTTTTAAAAGGTATTTTTATATTTAAATTGTCTCATGCCATTAAAAATTTCATGAAAATAAGATTTTATATGTTATTAAACATTTTCTTATGTACAACATTATTGATTTGATTATTTGGCATGTAAAGTACTACATAGGTGTTCGAATTTATCCAAAATTGCATATTATTAGTTATTAGTTAGCAAATTTTAAAAAGATTAAAGGATCTTATTTATTGAACAAAATTAAAATAGAAAAAAAAGTAGAATTTTTTAGGGATTTTCACCATTATTTATTTTAAATCTAATTCTAAATTTCAATTAAGAAAAATTGAAAAGAATCATTAGTTACTCCCGGAAATGAAACTGGTTTTCCTATCAATAAACCGATTTTTTTATCATACAAATTGATCCGAATTTTTTTTAAAACCAAATAAAAAAAATCACCAATTTTTCCAAAAAATTCAACCGAATTTTTTCTAACATTGCACCGATTTTTGTACCAAACAAATTAAATTGAAAATAATTCTCATAAAAATTTTAAATAAATTGTTAATGTTTATGCAACTGTCTCTTTCTTAAGGAAAATGATGTGAACTTAACCAAAAAAAAAAAGATATGAACTTATCTAAATCTCTGTAAAACATGGTTAAGAAAAAATATAAGAATTCAAAAAAATCGATGCATTTAAATTTTGAAAAGTTGCACACAATTTTTTTCTAAATAATTGGATAAGGTGACTTTAAATATCATTCATGAACCGCTTTTGTTACCAAAAAATGTGGATACAGTTTTGAATGTACATCCCGTCCAAATATCAGTTTTATTTTAAAATAAAAGTTGCACGTGGTTTTATCCAATTTACACAATTTTTTTGAAAGAACAAATTATTCAATAAGATTGGAAGAATTGGTTAAGAATTATACAACTATTTGTTTTCTAACTTTGTATCCAATTTGCACAGTTTTTATACTAATTTGTATTTAGAATAGTTTTCATAAATAATTGACACATTTTTTGCATAAGAATATTCAAATTTGTTTAAAAAAAAATAGGATTTAGATTTTGTTACTAAAGATTCACATGTATTTTTTTGAACTTTCCATTAATAGTAAGTCAAACATTATATTTATTTGGTCAAACTTTCTACTAATGTATTTTTCCAACAACCTCTCTATATATATATAGATATAGATATAGATATAGATTTCCATATAAACACATTCCTAATAACTAATTAATATAATAATTTTTTTATCCAAGTTATCTAATCAAGTATTTTAATATATAATTAATATAACATTTTATTTAATTAATTATACGATTATTCTTACGATATAATTACTAAAATATTAATTATTTTAGAAAATTTTTAAAAATGAATTTGAATTATCATACCTTTTACTTTATATGAAATTCAGAATTACATATTTTAATATATTAATAAAAATTTATTATTCATTTTTTCCTTATGTGATATAATCTAAATTCGGTATTAAAATTTTAAATTCAAACATTTAAAGAAAAATATCCTAAACAGATTTTTTTGGGTAAATTTCATTTTATCTTGATTTTCATATAATCATATTCTAACAAACTAATTAATATTATATTTTTTACATAAGTCTAAAAAAAAGATTTAAAATATGAACTCCTCCGTGCATCGCACGGGATATATACTAGTTATAATTAAATATGGAAATGGGTCCAAATCTGTTACTGATAATTCGGCCGCACAAGTGAAAATCTTCTTGCTAAAATTTAGCCGCATATAAATCAGAGCCATAAAATTCAGCCGCAAAAAAAATTGAAAACATGAGCGGGATACCCTAAAAAAATTCAAAAAATCATTCCATTGATGGTATAAAACTTAAAACTTAAAAATGTGCGGGAAATTGATATACTATTTTTGTATTTTTTCTTATTGTTATTATATAGATCATAAATTATTTGCTATTTGCTAAGCCCTGTATTATGATACTATAATACCACGTTGTATCACACCGATCATTAGGCTGTTCGATTCGGCCCACTGCCATTTATATATTTATTTTAAGGAATTAACTTGGGCCCATAATAAAGTCTTCCAGCCCACTAGCAATAGTTCTTTTCTTGTGAAAGCCTTTGTACCTTTCTTCCAGGCTTGGGCGTGGGAAATAGGGCAGTTGATACCAGCCGCCTACCGCCGTACTACCGCAAAGGCCGTGACTCACGACCGAGCACGGATAAGTTTCAAGAACTCCAAATTGTTGTACTATAAATACTCGTGTTAAGCTAGGTACCGATATTTTGAATCCCGACTTTAATAAGCTCTTGCTTTGGTTGTTTGGTTATGAGCTCAGTTTTTATGATTGTTCTTATCAGGCCTTAGTTTTCATTATGGATTGTTTTGTTGAAGATGAATAAAGTTTAATGACCTAGGTGGGCAGTGTTTAAGGTAGTTTCGTGTATGGTTGTTAGGGAGTCGTGTTGGACATCTTGTGTGATGTTTATAGCACAAAAATCCAAACAAATGAAATGTGTTCTCGAAGTTACTATCTAGATTTTACGCCAAATCCCGTTTATGATGTTTTGACCCTCGCAAGCAGTTGGATCATTTTCATCCCGTTCACATGCTTAGTGGTGTGTGGAGTCTGTGGAGTCTGCATATCTTGGTATTTTCATTAGTTCAATATAAGTTTTCTAGTTGAAGGTGTCTTTAGCAGTAGCGCACTGCTCTGCTTTTCCATTTTGCAGACGCATCCTTTTAGCATAATCATTTGTGTTTGGAGTCTCCTAAAACTTATAGGTCCATACGTTTTCTTTCCATAATGTCAAGAGTCTGTTCAATATCTATATTATAGAAAAAGCGAGTCTTCAGAAAAAATTATTTCTTTCTTTTCATGTGGTTCTTGTTTGTGATTATGAAGTGCAAGTTGTTTCTATTCTTCACTTTTCATGTTTTGACTGGATGCCCCAATTTCTAATTTTGTTCAACGTTGGACATGTTGAAAGATTCAGAGTTTTTGAAGCAGCTCAAATATTATTGGATTCTCTTCTTTATGCAATGCAACATGCAATTGCACCGAGACCTATTTGATGAAATTTTTGTGTTCATTGAAATCTCGTCAATAAAATGATAAGAAAGCATTGTCGCAGAATGGTCAATGACAATTTTAAGCCTCGTCGCAGATGGCCATCAATCTTGTGTTGCAAAAGGTTTGTCAAAACTCAAAAGTCGTAGTACCTATTCTTAAACTAATTTTTAATGCTATTATTAAGCCATGTAATTTGCTAAAAATCTTAGTTCACACGCAGTCAAGAGTTTGAAGCTTCCAATTACTTCTTTCGGACACTTACATTCCAACAAAAGTGGCAGCCAGAGGAGTTACAGTAGCGGCCCATGCTCGATCTACACCAACGAGACGCATCCCATTCTCCAATCGAGCGGGCTACAGCACCAGTTCAAGAACTGGCAGCACCTGAGGCAGAACAAGCTGACGGCAAGCACTTTCTCCTTGGCCATCGGCATGTGGCCTCGTGGGCGGGCCCGTCTCTGGCTCGAAAAGCTCGGGGCCATCGAACCGTTCATGGGCAACCTGGCCACGTGCTGGAGCAACATCAAGGAGGAGGAGGCCCTCGAGAGGTACAAGCTTATAACCGATAACGCCGTCACGTATCCCGAGTTCCAGGTTCACAGGGGGCGGGACCCGAACGACAGCTGGCTGGCGGCCTCCCCAGATGGGGCCATCGATTATAGCTTCTACTACAACTTGCCCATGTGCGGGGTCCTCGAGGTTAAGTGCCCATTCTTTGGCGGGAACATGGAACAAGCCCTCCCTTGGAAGCGGGTCCCGTTGCACTACATTCCCCAGGCGCAGGGGCTGATGGAGATCCTCGACCGCGACTGGATGGATATGTATGTATGGACAGTGAATGGGAGTAGCCTCTTCAGGATCTATCGAGATGACGAGTACTGGAGACTTCTCAAGACTGCATTGTGCGATTTCTGGCTGAAGCACGTCCTGCCCGCAAAGGAGATATATGAACAGAAAGCGATCGCTAATCCGCTCATCGAGTTGAAGCAGTTCAGGCCAGCCCCGAAGCACGAGTTGTTTCGAGAGATTGTGTATGGGAGCAAGCTGGTGGTTGACAACTCAAAGCTGTTGATTCGTGAGATTAATGGCAAGCTGCAAAACTGACAAAGATGTAATTGGATTATCAAGTCAGTTCAGGTGATATGAGAAGAAGCAAATAAGATGGTCGATTGATGTGGGTGCGAATTGGTGGCAGGTCGGGGAACGCATGGATAAGGTCACATTGAATTTTTCTTTTCGTGATATTCAAATCAGTTTTGATTGCTTTTGTTCTTTATTTATCCTTTTAAGTTGTGTGAAGTTGTATGTTGCAGTATATTATTAGCCATAGAGTAGATATATGCCTTAGAAGCTGTTGATAACAAAGCAAATCTTTAGAATAGTAGATATTCATCCCAGGAACCTGTTTGAGTGTGAAATAATTTAGTTCTAGTTTCTGACTAGTATGTTTGAATAACTAAAAGTTGTTTTTATTGTGACTCTGCTACTTGTTGTATCTTAAGAATTTCATGGAATATTGATCTTCAGGTATTCATCTTCATTAGTTTTTTCTTAATGGTTACAGAAAATCAATGAACTTTGGGACTCTCATTGTCATGAGTTAATCATAGGAGAACTTAAAAGTTGATATTTGTTTATAGTCAAGAGCGAGTTTCAACGCCCCTGTAAGGTTGCAGTACATTTTAATTATAAACATTAGGTATGTTTAATTCAGTGGCCAAAGTAAGCTATGGAGTAATTATGTCCAACTTTTAGTTGAGTTTAATTTAGAGAACAAGGAAAGCTAATGTGTAACTCTGCCCCTATAGCATGCATTCATTTATGTGGTATAGGATTTGAGATGAAAGGTCAAAGGCTATAAATCTATGTATGTGTACATATATGTTGCCAAAGGGAGATTTCAGAATAAATATTTCATCATTTTTATTTTAAGCCGAGACATTATTTTGGAAGTTTCAATATATTTATCTCAATATTCTTCTTCATAATAAATTCAAAATCCAAGTATAAGTTAACTATAAAAATTAGATTTTGAAATTTGAGCTGGTTTAAAAGCTTGTTTTGTTTATTTTTATGCATGCTGTTGGTTTCACCGTAAAAGTATCCTATCAATCAGCTTCCAAATAATAGCATATTTTATTTCGTGTAGAATCATTTTTTGAATCTGCAAAGCACCTACATTGACAATGTTTGTGACTTGTGTTCGAATACAAGCCATTAGTGTTATTGCGATTGTGTAGTGTTTATCTTTTCCAATCTTACTTAGTTAGAGAGAATGTCTGTGATTTCATTGTATGGTGCTGTTGGTATGAACCAGTAGTATGTTGAAACATTTTTTCTTCAATATTGTTAGTATTGTTATCTTTTTCTTGTGCGATCTGTAAAAAGTTTATTCTTGTTTTTAATGCCTTTGTAGTTCCATTTTGTTTGTGAATGACTGCACTAGATCTCCATGTAATCTCAGATGGAAACTCATTCCATATTCTATTGTTTTCTTTGATAGGACGGGGGCTCTGGGAGGTTGTTCTCTTTACAAGAACAAATAAGTCATAAGGTAAATTTTTGCAGCACTTTTGATTTTTGGTAAAAGGACTCACTGAAGGAGATTTAGATTATTATTCCAACATGAATTTATGAGAGTTTGTCATCTTCATCACGTATGAAGCAATTAGCGATGGCGCATAAGGCCATTGTTCTTTGTCCTCTAACGTTCTTCTTGTATATTTTCCTTTTTCTTGTCGAAATAGGAGGTTGAATGATGTGCTAATATCTAAAATATGGTTTATCCATGTTTGTTAGAACAAGTTTCTAGTTTCTTCTCTGCAATTCAAAACTTGTTGTGTCCGTGGGATTTTTGGACTCACTCCTTTTTCCTTTTCCCCTTTATCTTCGCCTTATACTCTTTCCTTCCTAGATAAGCTTCATAGAGGAGAAACTTGGAGATGTTGAAGTACCTATAGTGCTGGTAAGCCTTGACCACATTAGAAGTCGCAACTGCCATTTTTCAATGACCAGTAATGCTTAACCAGTTACATATATTTAATCATAAATTGTTTTTTTTTTTTTTTTTCACCACNCCTCTTTCACCATTGTTTACATTTTGAGTCATCATTCTTGATGTCTATATTGTTGATGAATATTTGACACTTTAGTATTAGCCTTCAAACATTAGGCCTGCCACGCCACAAGGGTAGACAGTCGATCTAGAACTAGAAAATTAAAGGAAATAAAAGATACAACAATGCAGGAACTTTTATTTAAATGTTTAACTTGTAGTTTGAGAGAAAAATGTTAACAATTCAGTTTAGCGTGATGAATGCTTCTATTGCAGCTGGACGAATATGCAACAAACTGATGTGGTGTTAGTTATTTTCATTTTAGTTCCTGAAAGATAACTTCGTGAAACTTGTCAAAGCACATTCAATTTTTTTTTTTTTTTTTTCATTATTTATATAATTTTGTTATTGTAATTCTGAAATGTTAAAGACTCTTGTTTTTAGGTATGTAACATGTATTTGTTTTTCTAATGATTTGATACTTAATTCACACTGAAGGTCGACCATTCCATTGGTTCATATATCTCTCTTGAAATACTAAGAAGATGTCATGAGAAGGTATATAATCAGTTACTCACTAGTTGCATTTTTGTTCTCTCTCTCTCTCCCTTTTTGTCCCTTTTTCCCCTCTTTTATCATTTTTCCGTGTTTTAACGAAATTCTATTAACACTTGTTTACTTTGCCATAGGTCATATATTGCATTGGTCTATACCCATTTTTGGCTCTCAACGATAAATCCTCGGCACAATCCTCAATTAAGCATCCAATACCTCAACAAAGACTAAAAAAAGATGACGAAATGAGAAAAGTTAATAAGAAGACTGAGACAGTGAGATTGACCCCTTGGAAAGACGGCCGCCAAAGGGTGAGAGACTGAGAGCGGGATCGTTAGCGCGCCGGAGGTTCGACGGTGAGAGAGGGGTTGAGAGCGCCGGTGGGTGAGAACGGAGTTGAGAGCACCGGAGGGTACTAAGCAACCAACGGCGAGCGCCGTTGAGAGCGCCGGATTCCTGGAGGCGGAGGGTGAACTTGAGAGTGAACACAGGATGCAGCTGCGGGAGCTTGAGAGAGAGCCTGAGAGTGAAAATTAAAAACTAGGGCAAGAATTTTCATTTGTTAATTTTTAAATTTTAAATGTAAATATTAGTTATTTGTTAATTGTCTGTACAAATTCAAATTGAAAACTCAAAAGCGTGTCTCACTCCCATAACAACACTGCATATGTATGTAAATAATAACATGACACTTTATTATATTCGGTGCGATTCGGTTTTGTGTCCGAAGGGTGCGGTTTTAACGAACCGCACTGAATATAATAAAGTGTCATGTTATTACTTACATACATATGCAGCGTTGTTATGAAAGTAAGACACGCTTTTCAGTTTTCAATTTTCATTTGTACAGACAATTAACAAATAACTAATATTTACATTTAAAATTGAAAAATTAACAAATAAAAATTCTTGCTCTAGTTTTCAATTTTCACTCTCAGAAGCTTCCGCAGCTGCATCCTGTCTTCACTCTCAAGTTCACCGTCCGCCTCCAGGAATCCGACGCTCTCAACCGCGTTCGCCGTTGGTTGATTAGTACCTTGCGGTGCTCTCAACTCCGTTCACACCCACCGGCGCTCTCAACCACGATCTCACCCTCCGGCGCTCTCAACCTCTCTCTCACCGTCGAACCTCTGGCGCTATCGATCCCGCTCTCAGTCTCTCACGCTCCAGCGGTCGTCTTTCCACGGGCTTCACAATTTAGGTATCTCACTGTCTCAGTCTTCTTATTAACTTTCCTTATTTCGTCATCTTTTTTCAGTCTTTGTTGTTGAGGGTATTGGCTGTGGTAAAACCACCCAGCTTCCTTAGTATATCTTGGAAGAAGAGATATCATCTTTACGAGGTGCCAAGTGTAGCATGATATGCACTCAGCCTCGTAGAATATCAGTTGCAGCGAGAATATCTGCTGAAAGAGGGGAGAAGCTTGGCGAGAGATACGTCTGGAATCAAAACGATCTTCTCAAACAAGATTGTTATTTTGCACGACTGGGGTGTTATTGAGACAGATGGTATTTTTCATATAACTATACATTTCATTTATTTCTGCATCTGTCTTTGATAAGGAACTATATTTGGAATCTTTTTGGTCTGTTAGCTGGAAATTTTAGTCAAGACTGATTATAATTACAGTACAGCTCACAGGTTACATTGTTTCACTTTGAAATTCGAAATATTCATTTCCTCCGTGTTCCTGAATGCAGGTCCAGGACCCAGATTTAACTGGAATCACGGATTTGCTAGTGGATGAAATTCATGAAAGAGGCATGAATGAAGATTTCCTGTTAATAATATTGCGGGACATTCTTCCTCGACGTCCTGATCTTCGTATTATCCTTCTGAGTGCCACTATCAATGCTGACTTATTTTCTAAATACTTTGGAAATGCTCCCACCATACATATTCCTGTATGATTTTTTTCCTTACATGTTATTACCACTTGACTTCACCGTCTTCTTCATGATATGTCATTTTTAATGTGAAATATTTTCTTCTCATTGTTTTTTTTAGGGATTGACCTTTCCTGTGAAAGAATTTTATGTAGAAGATGTGCTGGAGAAAACTCGGTATAGTATCCAAGCAGAATTTGACAACTTCCCAGGAAACTCAAGAGGCCGACGCCGTCAGCAGGAGGCCAAAAAAGACCCTTTGACTGAGTTGTTTGAAGTATGCTTTATTGTTATTATTATTATTATTTGTTTCTTCAATTTGCAAGTCTTTGATGGTTATTTTCAATGTATATCAGATTGGTTTACTTTATTTTATCTAGTTTTCTGATATTATGCTTAATGCTAATATACATGGTGTTTGTTTAAATAAATTTCAAAGTTATGTTTGCCTCAAGCAAAATTTCCGATATTCCTACTTTTCACATTTATTTTTGTTTACATGTATTGTTCGTCAAGCTGATATATGTACATTTTCTTTCTGCTTCCAGGAAGCAGCCATTGAAGCTCTCTACAAAGGATATAGTGCAAGCACCAGGCGATCTCTTGAGGCTTGGTCAGATTCTCCACTGGATTTGGGCCTTGTATGTATCTTAGAGAATTATATTGTCTTTCCCCACAAACTTTACGGCGAGAAATTGGTTGAATATATCAATTCTGAGCTGAATTTCCTTTGTTTCTTTCTTTATGATACTTTTTTTAATGAAATATCGATATATGTTCACTGAATTTATTTAGGATAGGTTTTCTGAATTTTTATCTTCTAAATAATAAAAGAAGCATCGTAATTAAGAAAATATCTCACAAGCTTATATTCCTGTTGGATATTTTACAGGTGGAAGCAAGCATTGAGCATATATGCCGCCATGAAGGTAGTGGAGCCATTCTAGGTTTCCTGACTGGTTGGGATGATATTTCGAAGCTCCTTGATAAACTCAAAGCAAATAATATTGTTGGAAACCCAAATAAGTTCTTAGTTATTCCTCTGCACGGCTCAATGCCTACGGTTAATCAGCGCGAGATTTTCGACCGTCCACCTCCACATGTCAGGTTGCCTTCTTCATATGATCATATCTCATATTTATGATGAAATTTTTGTTTTTTCTTTGTTTGCATTGTAACCATATAAAATAATGCTCCCAATCTGTTTTGCAGAAAGATTGTGCTAGCAACCAACATTGCTGAGAGTAGCATCACCATAGATGACGTTGTATATGTCGTGGACTGTAGAAAGGCAAAAGAGACGAGCTACGATGCTTTAAATAAGCTGGCATGTCTTCTTCCTTCATGGATTTCCAAGGCATCAGCACACCAGGTAAATCAACAAAAATCTGTCCATCTTTTTTCTTTTTCTTTTTTTTTTTTTTCACCCAACCGAAATTTGGCCTTCTAAAAGGTATATTACATATTTTCTCCTTCATTTCATCTTCCGGGTCAAAATTTGCAGAGACGTGGCCGAGGCCGTGTGCAGCCGGGAGTTTGCTTCAGGCTATATCCTAAACTGATCCATGAAGCCATGCCCCAATACCAACTGCCGGAGATGCTTCGAACCCCTCTGCAAGAGCTGTGTTTGCATATCAAGAGTTTGCAACACGGTGTAATTAGCACTTTCTTGTCCAAGGCACTTCAGCCACCCGATCCTCTTGCCGTGGAGAACGCAGTTGAGCTTCTCAAGACAATTGGTACTCTTGATGATAAAGAAGAGCTCACCCCTCTTGGTGCGTGTGATATTTCATTATCGAACTTCAATTTATTTCTCCTAATGAGGAAAATTAGCCACTTTTTGAGGTGATCTGAGAAGATTGTAGTGAGTGAGTAACTGTGATTTACTTGATAGGGAGGCATCTGAGCTCTTTGCCTTTGGACCCAAATATCGGGAAGATGCTTCTCATGGGATCTATTTTCCAGTGTCTTAACCCGGCACTGACAATAGCTGCTGCACTTGCTTATCGGCCACCATTTGTCCTTCCTATAACTAGGAAAGAGGAAGCAGAGGAGGCGAAAAGAGCCTTTGCTGGTGATTCGTGCAGGTGAGGTTACATAACAATCATAAAAAGAAGAAGAGNAAAAAGGAAAACTGCTCTGAGGGAATTCTTTATGAAAAAAAATTGAAGCAGTGTTTTTTGCTGATTTAAGAACTTTTCTTTGACTTGAAACAGTGACCACATTGCACTTCTTAAAGCATTTGAAGGATGGAAAGATGCTAAAGGAAATAGAAGAGAAAGGGCATTTTGCTGGGAGAACTTCCTCTCACCAACGTCTATGCAGATGATGGCCGACATGAGGATGCAATTTCTTGATTTACTGGAAGGGATTGGCATTGTGAACAAATCCCTCGGCCCTGAAGTAAAGTTTGCAACTTTGTTAATTGTTTTCGTAAATCTGAAAGTTAATAATTTCAAACCCCAAAAAACCCCTCGTCATCACTCAAAATGACAACTAGCCCTTCTATTTCGTTGCAAACGCTCGCTCGAGATTTGCAGTTTCTTTACATACATTCCTTATGTGGGCAAAAGTTTGTAAAAACAAAAATTCAGTTTGCGATTCAAGTGAATTCACCTGGTTTTTTATTTTTCAAGCGTACAACCAATACAGTGATGATTTAGAGATGGTATGTGCAATACTATGTGCCGGGCTGTATCCTAAAGTCGTGCAGTGCAAAAGGAGAGGAAAGAGAACAGCTCTCTTCAGTAAAGAAGTGGGGAAGGTTGGGATTCACCCGGGTTCGGTAAATGCCGGCGTTCACCTTTTCCCTCTGCCTTTCATGGTTTATAGTGAGATGGTCAAAACCAGTAGCGTATACATTAGGGACTCGACTAATATATCTGATTACGCTCTGCTGATGTTTGGTGGAAATCTTGTTCCGAGCAAAAATGTTGGTGGTATTGAGATGCTCGGTGGATATCTTCACTTTTCTGCTTCAAAGACTGTATTGGACTTGATACGGGTATATTTCATTTCTCTCTCTCTCTTTCTGTTATATTACAAAATTCTGCACTTTTTTGAAATGGGCTATTAACCTGGGTTTGGTATAATTACAGAAACTTCCCAATTAACCTTTGAAATTACAAAAGATACCATGTTAAATTAAGCTGTAATGTTTGGTGAATGTTGTGGGGTGACTTGAAATGTTTTGCTTTTTTTTTTTCGTTAGGTTTCTTTGTAATCGGGTAGGTCGGACTTCATTAGTAGTTCTGCAGATAAAACCTAAAACTAGCTGGAAATAAGTGCTTAAAAACGCTTTGATTCGAAGCTAAAATTATTTTTGAAAACTATGCAGAAATTGCGTGGGGAGCTCGACAAGATTCTAACAAAGAAGATTGAGGATCCAGGGCTCGATGTTACTCTTGAAGGTAAGGGTGTGGTTGCAGCTGTAATTGAGCTATTGCACAGTCAAAATTTTGAGATATTTTGTCAATTATAGGCCTTTTCTTACATTGCACAAACAAATAGAACAATCCACATTATGCTCACATATGAACCATTTGAGGTTCTTCTAAGTGCTCAAACACAATGGTTTTTATTTACTCATTATTAAGTTTGGTCAATTTGATTGTGTATGGGGAATGTGTGAAAACTGTAGCAAATCAAGCAATCTGCAATATTGACAGATGTTTTTTTTGTTTATATTGCTATTTTTTTTTTAAATGTTTTGTAAGCTTTAAAAAATAATAACAATGCAATATTGTGGCTAGAGCTTCTACTTAGCCGTTTGATACATGAGCCGAACTTGAGATCGTTTAGTTAATGAGCTCAACTCCGGTCGTTAAGGTTTGATGAATAGGTTTTCTTACAAGTTTTTTTGAACTTTTAACATAATTCAACTTTTTAAGGCTTGTTAATGAGTATTCTGGTTTGATAAGGGTTTGAGCTAGAGTCGTTTACAATACAATTATAGCAAAAATAAAAATTATATACTTGCAATTTGCAATAGAAATTAATCAACCTTGTACAATGTGTTAGAAAGCTTGTTCCCCTGACATTGAACTACATAAGTACTTCTGAAATACTAGGCGATGTACAATTTCTATTTTCCAAGTATTAACAAATATTGGACCACACTTTTGAACCACGTCTATAATTTTGGACTATTGAAATAGTTTGCAAGTGGTTAATGAGCATATTTTACCAATTTAAAACATTAGTCCTTCACCCTGCCTACTTGTCATCTGGTTTATTGAAAAGACCTTTTTTTTTTTTCTTTTAAATCTTGGGCAGAAAAATAAGAAAAATGATTGACTTATTCTATTTTGCATGAAATTATAAACGCAACATTAATTTTGTACTCAACAATAAGTCAAAAATATTAAAAGGTCAGCTGTATTAACATGATTCATGACTTTTTCATGGTCGAATGAACAATGCAACCACAATTTATTTAAGTGGTTCATATCTTCTTTTCATCATTCACTGTATCATCTATGTCCTTATTCACTAAATTAAATAAATGTAACAACACTATTTTTTTCTAGTAACTTGTTAAATGGAAACTCGGTTTACATATGTAAACCCTTCGAGCAATTTTAATATGAAAAAAATAATAAGTTAAGCCACTACAAACATTTAAGGGAAGATTCAACCATATCGATGTGAGTTTGAACCGTCAGATTACACACACAAATACACACTCATTGGGATCTAACGGCTCAAAACTTAGTGTGAATGTTGGTCTGTACGTATTTTGCCTTTTTAGAAATATCCTTTTGAGGAATAAAATTGAAGTTTGTACTCGCTGGAATATATATAGTTATGAAATCCTTAAAAATATTATAATTAAAGGGGTGTATTCGTTTAGTATAATTTTTTTAGATTTGAGACATTTTTAAAATTATTAAATTTAAGACGAATCCTATAAAATTTTAAGTCTAGTTGTGTGATTTATAGTGAGATTTCTCGTATATGGTTTTTTTGAAATCACAACAAATTTTACTTTCAACTAAGTTAAATATTTTAAAATTTTGTAAGACATTAAAATCTCAAATCAATACCTCGAGACTTTTAAAGTTCGAAATTAAATACACCAGTATTTTTGAATTCTTAAATAGTACTAATAGAAAAAACACATTTTAGGGATCACTTTTTATATCTGTTGTAACATACCCGATGTAGAAAGTAGGACGGTGGCATTTTTGTAATAAAATTATTGTTATGTATATGTAATTCTAGTAATTCCTTATAGAAACCCTAGAAACCCAAGTCCATCAAAATTAACCCCACTACATATTAAATGTAAATTATATCTACAATGTAAATTATATCTACATGTAGTAAACATTCGAGAAATTTTCCTACCTTACGTCCAAATTTGTTTTTAATTGAATATATACGAAAAATATATTTTATTAGCAAAGTTACGAGAGTTGACAAAACGAAAAGGGATCAAACAATTTTAATGAAGGTAGGTTGAGATATTTATGAGGAGTGGCAGATTTTGTGAGATTTTATACGGAGACCAAACAATTTAGTTCTAGTTAATTTATCCGTTGACGATTCCAAAACAATAATCACATTCAAATAATTCATTAGTTTTCCCTTCAAAGACAAATGACACCTTCAAAAATCACAATTAAACTTCTTATTCAATTTGTAAATGCACTCGCAGAAATATGGAGCTCCATGGATGGCGGCGGCCGAGAGGTCAAGGGTCTACGAACAACATCGACGATCGTCTAGAGTCTGACTCGACGGGGAGCGCTGGAGTTGCGCGACTAGCGGCGGTGTGATTGGAGCTGTTGGAGCAGCGCGACAACTGGAATGAGGCGTTCATTGAGCTTGTGAATGGAGATTTGATAAACTAACATGGCACCAAAGAGGTCAATTTGATATATCAGTAATCAAATCTAACATGGGGTTTGAAGCGGGATTTTTTACATCAACGTCGACTAGGGACGGTGTGATTGGAGATTTGATTATCGACGTACGGCCATTTACTGAGGCAACAGAGAGGTCAAGAGTCCGTTTTTGGTATATGTACACTATATTTTTAGTATATGTTCCCGACAAATATACTATTTTTTAGTACATGTTAAGGTCGACAGTATATTTTCAGTATATGTTAAGGTCGACAGTATATTTTTTAGTATATGTACATGAGTACGATTTCAACTTGTTGTTTTTTTTGTTGTTTTAGTATAATGAAAGTTTATTGCAACATATACTGAATATATACTAACTATATACACAATTAACTAGTCTATATCCCGTGCGATGCACGGAAGAGTTCATATTTTAAACATTTTTTAGACTTTATTTTAAATATAATTATTTATATTTTTCACATCTCGTCTATTATGAAAATAAAATAAATACAATCAATGAAAAATATATAATATTAAATACTTTTCTTTATACAATATTTTTATTTAAAGAATATTATTAAACCTTACGATTTTGATTTGTTTTTTTAAATCAATAACCCAAAATATATGATTGTTAACGTACAAAAAATAATGGAAATAATCCAGACTTTAAAGTAAAACTATTCAAATAAAAATTTTCCAATTTTTTTTTTTTTAATTTCAAAAAACAAAAATTGGCAAGTTTGATAATGAGTTAAATCAGGTTATACAAATGATTAAATAGTTAAAATGTTATATTAATTATATTTTAAGAAATCCGATTATATAAAAATGGGTAAAAAAATATTATACTAATTAGTTTGTTAAGATTGTGATTATATGGAAGTTAAAATAAAATGAAATGTAACCAAAAAATTTGTTCGTGGTTTTTTCCTAAATGTTTGAATTTAAAAATCTAGTAACCAAATTTACATTATATCACGTAAGGAAAAAAAATAAATAACAAATATTTATTAAAGAGATAAATCAATAATATTTATCACTTAGATAATAAATAATAAATATTTACATGTAAAAAAATAAATAATAATATATTTAAAAATATAAGTCAGAATTTCAAATAAAGTAAAAGGAGGGATAACTCATTTTTTAAAAAAAGTTTCTAAATATTTAATATATTGATAAGTATCTCCATAAGAATAATCATACCATTTTAATTTTAAAAAAATTGGCAAGTTTGTTAGAGAGATAAATCCGGTTAGACAAATGATTAATTTGTTAAGATATTATATTAATTGTATCATAAAAAATCGGTTAGATAATGTAGATAAAAAAATATAATACTAATTAGTTTGTTAGAAATGTGATAATGAAAACCAAGATAAAATGAAATTTACCCTAAAAAATTATTTGAAATCTTTTCTTTTAAATGTTTGAATTTATAAATTTAATACCGAAATTCTATTATATCACATAAGGAAAAATAAATAATAAATTTTTATTAATATATTAAATTATGTAATTTTGAATTTCATATAAAGTAAAAGGTATGCTTATTCAAATTTATTTTTAAAATAAAAGTTATGATAAACATTTATTGATTCTCTTTCAAATATATTAATAAAATAAAAATATAAATCTAAACAAATTTTGAAACAACCAAAAAAATCGGATTGATTGGCATAAAAAAAGGAAGTGAAATCGGATTTGAATGCTAAAATCCGAACACCTTACCAAATTGAGTGCTAAAAGATTCGATTTGATTGGTTACCTAATTGCATGGGCTGAAAAAATTCAAAAAAAAAAATTACGAATTGAAGAAGCGGGAAAAACACTATATTGAAACGGGAAAACGAAATGATTATTTTCGCATTGTTCAAATAATTTTTCATCTCCGTATTATATAGTAATAGATTCCTTGCTACCTCAAACTTGTTGTACTGATTTTGATTGTGATGAATGAAAATCATCATCTTCGAGCAAACAATTGAAAATCTGATACACATAAATATTATTCTCTATCATATACATAACAAAAGATATGGGGGCACCTTTAGAAAGTTGATGCACACACGGTTTGTGATCCAAGAAACATAAAGTTGATCGCTTTGCTGCTCGAACGTTTGTGTTTTCAGTTTTGATAGTTAAAAAAATATATTTTTTAGGCTTTCAGCTCGGCTGTTTAATCTCTTGTGCAAAAACTGATATTATGAAACTCATTTTTCCATCCCATGTATAGATTGTTTCTTTAATTATATAAAAATCTCAACGGCTACATTCTGATCGGAGAAAAAGCGTTTAATTTAAGATTGGATATAGTATCCGCATAATCATAATTATTTCTCTTTAATATCGTATTCCTACTAATAATTGTGAACATTCGTATATTTACAAAAACTTATGGAAGGTTGGGTGTATGTGTAAATTAGCCCATTTTAAACTTCCAAGGTCTGGTTACAAAGCATCAAAAATAGGTCGAATCAGATCAAAAAATAATACCACGCGATTAAACCGAAATTATCGAACGACTAAAACTAACAACTAGGATTACTCTAAACTATTCCATACACATAACAATAAAAATAAATCACATAATAATACAAGGGCAATTAAATAAACAAGGCAATTAATCAAGATCAGGCAATAATATAGTGAAATGAAAGCAATAATAAAAATAAATCAAGCAATATAAAAAGCGAGCAAATAATGAAATAAAATGCCAATATCAACGAAAATCAAATGGGGCACTGCACCCTAGGAGCACGAAGACTCGCGATCCCGAGGCATATCCGCGACCACACAAGCGCGCTGTCGAGAGCGCCGAACTCACGACCCCAAGGCGAGTTCGCGACGCTGCGCGTGTGGCCTGAGGTCCTCCACAAATTCGCAACCCCGAGGCGAGTTTGCGACTTTGCTCGTGCGGCCTGAGGTCCTCCACAAACTCGCGACCCCGAGGCGAGTTCGCGACGTTGTGCGTGCGGCCCGAGGCTTTCCACAACTCACGACCCCGAGGTGAATTCGCAACGCTGCGAGTGTACCTGTGCCAGACCAAAATTTGTGACCAAAATCCATATTTCGCAACGTTGCACGTTCAGTCCATTAAATGTGCATTTTTTAGTGTGTGTTTTGCACTATAAATATATTTAGTTCCTTGTATTGGGAGGACTTTAGATTTCATTTGTTACTTTTCTACTTTAGGAATTATTCTCTCATTTTTAGTTTTTTCTCTATTTTATGTTGGAGCTCTCTGACTATCATTTTCCGACGACATCGTTTTTATTTAATTTTCGACCTTTTTATTCCAATTCTCGTCTAGCACGCAATAGGATAGTGGGTACTTTTTATTCAGCCTCATTACTTCGTATTTGTCTCGTTTTTACTTACGAAGTGTTTCAAGGTAAATTTAGGAGTTTGCTTGATGGATGAGGGAAAGTTTGTAGCTTTTCGTTTTTCGCTGCTTACCTAAGTGATTAGAGGAGTTAATTACTTGCTTATCTGGTATTAAAGTTTGAGACTTTGGTTAAACTCAATCATTTAGATTTAGAAAGCTAGTATTAATTACCTAGGACTTAGTGCTTGCATATTTCTCTTAATTGTTTACATATTTATTTCGAGTAGTAGAGACTCTGGTGACTAAAAATTCCTATCTTTTCGCATCCTTCTTTACATGCTTTTAATCGCTCTTAATACCTAGTTTAATTTAGCATTAATTCAATCCCAATCACCTTGATAGAATGTTTAGGAATTTATTTGTGCTTTGGACAATTAATTAGCGAACGAAGCTCCGAACCGTCTTCCTTCAGAGACGAGCCGAGTCGGATAACTCAGTTATCAACTATCCCACTAAAAACTACTCAACAACATGCTAATGCTAAAGATCATACAGATTGTTGATAACAAATAAACAAATTGACATGTATGTTTATAGGCAAACATGTACAATGTTTTAAATAGCGTACCGTATCGACTGGTATTGACAAATATCGGATATGATTGACCAGACGGTAAGATAACCCTCTAAATGCCATCTTGGCAAAAATACCGCGTTATATCGTTTTCATACCAAAAAATACCGGCCAAAATAGATGATATACCGAATTTAAAAAATATTTTTTTTTATCTTTATCAATTTATTTACAAAATTCTACACTTAGTTTTAACATGTTTACATTATTATTAGTTTTTAGTCAACTTTAGTGTGTATAAATAAACCAACTATCGTAAGTGTAGATAATGCTAATTGTTTGTAACCAATGCCATAACATAATTGCCATATTATTCTTAACAGTGATTTGTGCAAATAAGTAAATTATTTTTTATTTTAGTTATCTATGTTTTGCTACATTTATATGTGTTTTAGCTTTAAATTCAATTATTACATGTAGACTACCTACTTCAGTTTACCTCTTTGTAGATATTTTATATATTTTTTTTTATTCCAGTGCATGAGAAGAAATTAATAAATAAATCAACTACAAATGTAAATACAATTGTACAAAAAATAAAAAGATGAGATAAATCCTTAGTAAAATGAAACAAGGAAAGAAGGATTTGTGTGATCTTTAAATTCAATACAAATTTGGTAATAAGAGAGAGAATGATGAGAGACAATAATGTATGATGGAAAAATTATTTATGGCACTTTCCAAATTTTTTATCCAAACCTTATTACAAAGCATGATATTGTGACATGTAGGATTTCAGAACGTGCGAACCTGCCACTTAGGTTCAGTACGTTTTGAATTCTATACTTATATAAAAGGATATCCTATTTACTATATTTAGTATCCAGAAAAGTCAAATGCATTAAATGTCATTACTATTTCAGTATTAATATTTTATTTAATTGATTTATTTATATATATATATAATAAGAATTACCATTTTTAAAAAATGGCAGGTCAACTATATGGTCAAATTCTCTCATCATTAATTATTTTCCACTAATGACAATTTATTTATTTATTATTTTTTTAGCAAAAACGGACCAACATTAATTGATTTCCTTAAAATGTGGTTGTTGCTTTATTTTTATATAGAAAATCGGGCTTCATTATAGAAATTTGTTCAATTACACAATGAATCTGCTATGATATAATTATTTTTATGGGAACTTTTTTTTTAACAGAAAAATATGACATTTTAATAAGATTTTCGATTTTTTAAGACTGATTGTTATCATGCTATGAAATTGAACATTCCAATATACCTTAACAAAATATACACGTGTTGTATACATCAACTAATAGAAATATAGAATCCTCATATTTTTATATATATGTATGTAATTTTTCTATTACCAATTTTAATTGATAGTTGTTGTGTTAAGTGTTTTTCATTATTGTTACTTGGTTGTTGTGATATTTAGTTTGGTTGGTGTCGCAAAAATTCTAATATATATCTATATAATAAGAATAATCATTATAATGCAAATTAGAAAAATATTGATATTAGAAGAGATTGAGTTCATGGCTTTTCTTAAATTAAAATTGTTTAATTAGTATACAAAATTAAATTCTAAAAAAATATATGTGCATATTTTGTACATTATTTATACACTATTTAATTTTAAATTTATTTACATATTTTAAATTGATTACTTATATAAATAATACCAACGTGCATTAAATATTTTTCATTACATAAAATAAAAAGAACAAGAAGACGTGCAACTTCTATAACTTTATAAATAATAATGACATTATATGGCAACATAGTTTATAAATAACAATTAACTATTATATAGTGGAACAAGAATAAGTAAAATTGTTATTTTCTCTTATATCAAAGAATAAATATATATAATAAAATTAATTTTGTATTAGTATAAATGTGTTAGTGAGATAATATATTAATTATTTTACAAGTTAGACCTAACATGCTCACGTTTAATGTTCTGACTAATAAAACAACGCTGATTAAAAGATGTGAAAAATAGATTACAACCTTATTTTTTTAGACTTAACGGTGATTAAAAGAGGTGGAAAATGAATGATAACCCTTCTCAAACTTAAACGGACAAAGCCTGTGAAAATAATTCATTTAATATCTCTCGTGCACGTACTAGTTATATATATAAGGGGGAAGGGGGATTAACCACCTTGGATGAATTTAGTTCATATATTCATACCTAATTTTGTATGTGATTGAAGCATTATTATATTTATAACAGATATGGACCTAAAAATGAAATTAACTCTGGAGATAGAATAAGATGTTTTTTGGAGAATGGATTCTAGGTGGATATACTAAAAAAAAGGTCTATGTATGTTAGCTACTTCTTAAAAATGTTTTGAATTTGGATATATTTGTAGTATGTATACGCAGGGTAAATACAATTAAAATTGTTATTATATATAAATAATGGTTTACGTATTTACAATAATAATTTAAAATAAAATTACACATCATTAAATTTTTTTTACAATTATTTATATTATCTTTTAAAAACACTTACAATTTTATATGCTATCTAAAAATAATGTCTAAATACACATCTAATATTCTAATTTATAATCCTTACATCTATTAGTAAATATATAAAAATACTTTAATATTTTTTACATATGCTTCTTAATTCAACACTCGCGTAATACACATTTATTGTACTAATGTGTAAATACTAAATACAACTCTTCACACTTAAACAGAGGCATCAGCCAATTAGCCAAAGCTGGTTTACAATTTACAAATTTAATCCACAGCTCATCTTCTCTCTCAGATGATTATATCTTCACCATAATTACAATTAATAGTTAAGCAAAAGCTGTTTATCATTACGCATTGTTCTGTCTGTTTGTTTCCAACTTCAGGCCCACCGGCACCATAGAAGAGGTGGAAAATTAAAATAAATAAAATAAATTCGAAAGCAATAATAATAATTAATAAAAGAAAAAAGAGATCTTTCCATTTTTTTTCAGACCCTTTCTGCAGCTTGCATTCATAGACTTGAAATTTTTATTTCGTCATTATTCTTTTTATGCATTTGCTTCATCTTCAACTTTTCCATCTCTCTCTGTTTCTGACACCAAACACCTCTCTTTTAATCCAAGTCTTCCTCAATTGAGGGTTGCTTTGAAATTTCACTCTCATTTACCAGTGGGTTTTGCTTTCTAGGGTTGTTACCGATTTTGATTCAAGATTTTCTGTTAATAATACAATCTTTACTTTCTTTTTCTTCTCTGTATCATTTGAGAAAAAAAAAAGACTGATACTTTTTCTTTCTTTCTTTCTTTTTTCCCTCTTTCTTTTTACAGGTCTTGTTTTCCATTCTTTATATTCTATTTGTTGATGAACAGTGCAACACTCACAAGTTGGGCCAACATTATTATTTTCTTTCATAAACCCTTATCCTCCTTAGTTCATTTTTCCTTATCTCTTTTATCTATTTTAAATTTCCATTTATGTGGTTTCTCTAAAGACTGTAACTTGTTGATGGGTTCTTCAAGCTGTTGAGTGTGTGATGTGTGCAAGAAAGATGATAAGCTTAGCTTCATTTCAAGTTCTTCTGCTCAGTATAACATTCTTGCTTGGGGATTGTGTTGCATTTCCAAAAAATGAAGGCAAGTCTTTTTTAACTCTGCAAGTCTTTGACTTTATTGTTGATCTCATAGATCTTTACTCTTTATTATTTGGATAAATA